GCGTCTGCGACGTGCGCGTCATGCCGTTGTTCGCGCTGCGATAGCATGCCGGCATCTGTCGCGACGCTAGTCAACGCAGCCTCGCGGGGACATGTGCGAACGCACCGCGCTGCACCTTGAAGTCTCTAGTGGGCGCCCTGCACCTGTCGCTGATGCGCACCGTTTAAAATGTCCAGCATGGGCGTGCAATTTGACGTTGGCTCGATGTTGCAAAGTGCAGTCTGAGGCGCCTGCAGCGCGTTGCTCTAGTTCGTCGCAAACGCGGCGGCCCCAGGGCACGCGCGCAATCGATCTCGCTCTGCCCAGGTAAAAACATATTCGGGCGCAAAATGCGGCGACAACGGCTGTGTCCGGACGTGGCTCTTGTTCCGCGCTTGTCTGGGCGAAGAGGAAGCCAGGGGGCGCAGGGGGCGTCGGCGCGAACTCTCCACTCAGCGATGAAGGTCGCACTGCTGCTGGCAATTAGTGTTGCTAAATCGCAAGTGCAATGGAAGCGAGAAAATTGAATCCCAGGCAGTAGCGGCGCGCGTCTGGTTGTCGCGCAGCGCGGCGCGGTCGCGCTGCGTTGCTGGCAACACTTGGCCACGCTGTCCTAGCCCGACACCCCCGACCAGGAGGGAACGACGTCTCATTGTCCACCATCCGCAGGGCGCGCCACTTCCGAAGGGAACATCGGGGCTTCGAATGCCAGCTGCCCTGGCATAAATGCAAGAATAATCATGTCCCACGTCGCGACCACGCAGGGGGGCGCGCGTCGACCGCGTGGGCCCCGAGGGCAACGGCGCCAAACCGAATGGTCCTCCGCGCTGGGCCGCGGCCTGAAATGCAGACCAGGCCAATGCGAGTTCCAGACCTGGCCAATCTGAATTCCAACCCGGGCCAGTCTGAAGAATGCGCGCGCAGAAGTGTCGCGCAGGAAGCCTCGCCGCAGCCGCCGGGGGCGCAGTCTGAATTTCAGACGGGGGGGGATCTGGATTTCAAGCAAGGGCGATCTGCGTTTGAGATGTGGGGGAGCGCCGCCCCATGCGAAAATGCGCCGCGATTTCCCTCCGCGATCAAGCTGGGCCGAAAGAAATGCACCGCCCCGCCGCGCCCGCGACGGCGCGCCGATGCGCGAACGCGAACGCGATAATATCGCACGTGCGCGCCGACGCCGGGCGCGCCAGCGCGTCTGCGCAGCCTGCGAGAAGCCCAAGCGCCAACATTCATTGGAAAAGACTGATCTTTGGGGGCACTTGGTGATCAGGAGGTAGCGAACGCTGTCGCAGCCGGCAGTGGCCGCGCAACTGGCAACAGTGGCGGCGCCGCGAGTAGTCGCAATGCGATTGGCAGAAGTCGCGGCGATGACACGCGCTGATTCGATTAAAATCACACCGGCACTAAACGCGGCAACGTCGACGGCGAAGCCGCCGCCGGTAGGAGTGCCCCATTCCCGTGAATCCCGAGGGCACTGCTGCTTGGGGGCGACCTTTCGGTTCGTGGCACGGCCTCCTCGCCCTCCTCTCTCCCGGGCGCAATAATCTTCGCGCCGCCCAGAGGTGGCGCCGCGCCCGACCGTCAGTCGCCGCGCCGGCACGTCCTCATGTTGCAGCAGCTGCCGCGAAGCATCTCGCTAGAGCAGTTGCGCCTAAGCCTCGCGTCGCGGCAGCTGTCGCGACGCGTTTAGCGCCGGCAAGAATCGCGCCTGAGTCTCTCGCCCTTGCGCGGAAACCCCCCGCCCCTCTGCGATGGGCAGGGGGGTCGAAGGAGCAATGAAGGATTTTGATGTCGAGGCGCCAATCGCGGCTGGCCGTTTGACGGCGCCTGCTGGCGCCGCCGTCTGGTTCCTTCGTCGGCGGCTGGCCTCGGGGCCCATGCGCGTCAAATCGCAGAGACGCGCAAGTGCGTCTCGATGCCCAACCGCGCGCGCGCGACGATTGCAACGGGGATGCGAATAACTGTCGCTGCCATGGAAAAAAACGGTAGACGCGATGGCGGTTGCCAGGCGCCGCTCGTCAATCGAGGATGGCTTGCTCCCAGATCGTCAGCCCTGCAGCGCGACGAAGGCTCTCCGCTGGCATATTCCACGCGTTGAACCTTTAGGTGCCCCAGCCGTAGTAGGCGCAGCGTTCCGCCAGCTCCCCCGCGCCGTGCGCGCTCGCACCTGAGCGCAAATCTTGCGCCCCAGCGCGCGGCCTCGGCCGCGCGCGAGGCAGTAGAACACGCCGAAAGAACAATGATAGAAACAGTAGCAATGCTGAACATATGGCGTCGGTGCGGTCGCCCTGCATGCCCGGTGAAGTTAGCAAATAACTTGACAGTAACGTCATCAATACTAGCGTTGTAGCAAGTTGCTTCGTCGTAGATCTTGCACTTGCCTTCCAAATCAAAAGGTGCTGCAGGTAGTGGCCAATGGATAGCGTTCGCCAGCCGCGCCAAGGGCGCGCGTCCACCCCGTGGTAGAGTGGGCGCGCTTCCACGCTGTGGCAATGCGGGCGTGCACACCATGGATACAGTCATCGGCCTGATCTAAGGAACGATAAATAAGGAACGACACCCCTGTTTTCCAAGGGAAAAAGCATAAGGAACGATAAATAATATAAAAGCCTAGAGAACGATACGTAACGCATGGAAACCTCAAGGAACGACCGGGCCGCTTTTGAAAAGTAAGTGTTCCTTACTCAAGCCGCACACTGTATGCCACCCTGGCGTCGTCGCAACTGAAGCATATGCCACCAAGTCGTCTTGCGCACAAGCGTCACTGAGACATGCCACAGGCACGCGGCAGTTGACATGTGTCACGAACAAGTATGCAACACCTTGGAGGCTAGCGAATAGATCTTGATTGTTGCCACGATGCGCGTCGCTATGCGTAGGCGAATGAGCTATGCAGCGCCGAAGGCGCAGCTGCATTATACACAATGCTGAATTTAGCAACTGGCGTGATAAGGAACTCCCAAGAGCCAGTGCAGAGAAACCTGTAGAGCTTGGAGCAGTGGGGCATGCGGAAGAAGAACAGGCAACAGACGGCGTAACAGTTGGCAGGCTCCGTCGTCTTCAATACCGTGGGCTCGTAAGTGGTGGGTAAAACATGCGTATGTCCGCGCTGGCAAACCGCACACCACTGTTCGGACAGATCAACGACGAGGACCTGCCATTAGCTCGTGTGTGCAGAAGTCCGCTAGGTGGGCCAACGAGAGGCCCAGGCCGCAAACATCTGTGATGTCGGCGTAAGCAGGCAGAAGCCGGAACAACGAAAATTGGAAACGTACCATGGATCAAATTTGCGTCGCCCGATGCTGGCCTGGGTTCCGTCTGCCAGCACTCGTCCGCGCCAAGATCTACACGTGACTTAACATGTTTGTCCTCGCGCCGAAGACAACAAAGATATTTCCCCACGTCTCGGCGGGGACCGCCGGAACAACCAGCTCTGCTACCAAATCGAAAGTGGTCTCGCAGGCTCTAATAACATCGGAGTCGTAGGCGGTGTTAGATTCGGTGATAGACTTCCGACGTGGGATGTAGGCACAAAAAACTGTTCCGTACTCAAGGAACTGTAACTGATACAAGAATCACAGCCTGATGCGCGCAACTGGACCAGGAAGGAGCAACAACAACGGATACGCTGGATATGTGCACACGCGAGCTCGCCTTATCCCCCTCCTGTAGTTATCCCTTTGAAAGTTTGTCCACGCAAGTCGATTGGAGAAGAATCGTCAAGGACGTAAGGCAGGTCGGGGCACGCACAGCTAGCCCTCCTTCCGTTCAGCCAAGGAGAACCCGGCACCACTGCCGTCGCTGGCGAGCCCTGGGCCCCTCCTGGACACAAGGACCTGTCACAGTCGAGAATTTGAAATCTTACGGGGTCTTCCTTCCTTCCGCTTTCCCATCCTCCCTTTCCTCCTTGTGAAAAATTAAAAGGAAACGAGGAGGGGGTGGTCGCGGAGGCTGCCGAGGAAGACGAGACGGAGGAGGAGAAGGAAGTAAAAAAAGAGAACGATAGTGAAGGTACACAGGCGAGGAGAGATATGAAAGGCGACAGCATGTGAATGAATATGAGGACAAGGGAAGGCAATGTCATGCCGACGAGGGAGAGAAAAACACGATTGTAATGACAGGGGGAGGAACACATCGAGGCGGGGGAAAAACGGGGGGGCAGCAGGGGAGAAGGAGGTGAGGGCACCTCTTCTCCCCACAAAGTATCTGGCTGGCGGCCCGTGAAAAGCCGACCCTTTTCTCCTCTCCAGGGGCGCGTTCCAGCCAGGATCCCGAAGGGGGTCTGGCCGTGGCGACGAGAAACCCTCCCGCCCACAGACACCTGACTGAAGCAAGAACAGCCAAGCAGAAACGTCTAGGAGCCCTTCCCAGAAGGGCCTCGTCAGAAGTATCAGGTGGCACGCGGAGAGCAATTCCAGGCCCAAGCTCTCCACTGAATCTGGTAGGAATTGGCGGCGCGCACAGGGGGGTATGGGGAGGGGGCAAGGCTTCTTAGAAACACCCCTGTTTCTTAGAAGGCGCGGGCCTTGTCTACTAATGTAAGGCCGGCGCCTTCTAAGAAGCAGCCTCCTTCTAAGAAGCCTTCCCCCATCTCCCTACCCCCCTCTGCGCGCCGCCAAAGGAAGCCCAGATTGCCCCCAGAACGCCCCTCACGAGGCCCGAGGCCCAGGGGCCCAGGGGGGCCCCAGGGGCTCCAAAATGAGCCAAGAACGCCCTCGGCCACAGACGCCCCTGGCCCTCCCACAAAGGAAGCCGCAGAGGCTGACAAGACTCTTCCGCGATGAGCCCCCTCAATGAAGACCCCCCCGCCCTCGAGGCTCCCCTCCAGCCGCCTGCCCACGCCTCAGAGCGAGGCGAAGGGGCCGTCACCGAAGGGCTCGCTTTGCCAAAGGCCCGTCAAAAGCCGCCCCCCGCCTCCCGACCTTCCTCCTCCTCCTCCTCCTCCTCCTCCTCCTCCTCCTCCTCCTCCTTTCCCTCCTCCTCCTCCTCCTCCTCCTCCTCCTCCAGCGCACGCGCGGGCGCTCCTCTCGCGGTGCTCGGCAGGGAGCCCGGAGAGGACGCCGGCGGCCACTCCTGGTCGGTGTCGTCGGGCATCTGGCACCAAGGGCGCGGGACGCCTCCTCCCCCCCACCTGGCCGGAGTTGGGCTGGGAGAGTGATGGTGATGATGGGGAGGAGGGCGAAGGCGCGTGTCTATTCAGCTAGGAGCCGCGGAAGAGGAGGGGGAAGACCAAGGAGGAGGCAGACCAAATGTATTGGCAGCAGGGGATGCGCAACACCACTCAGTGCAGCTCTGATGGCAACCCTACGAGACGATATGGATTGTGCAGGGCCTCGAGCGATTGCCTGGCTGGAGCAGTTAGGGCAGGAAGCCCGCAGCGAAGGGAGGATTACGAAACCAATGATGGCGTCGCCGACATGGACAGCCGCATGCCCACCCCGATGTAGCAGGCGCTGCGCTTGGGCACCCCAAGGAGGCGCCCCCAGAGGGGCATGGCACTCGCCGCCGTCGTCGTCTGCCTGCTTCTCCCCTCCTCGTCCCCTTCCGCCAGACCGCGCGGCCTGCCCAGAACCAGCGTGGCGGCATGTAGGGCTTGACGGTCCTTGGGCCCTGCGTTCCTGCGAGGAATCGGGCCCTCTTTTGGAGCCGTTTTGTGTTTCTGCTCACTCGCCCGCTTGCGCCCAGGTTGTGGGGGTGTCTCGGGCGAGGCGCTCGGTTGGAGCCCCCGACTCCTCTTCTGTGGGTGCCTGACGATCCCCGCGATGCAGCAGGCACAGCACTCGGGAACTCCAGAGAGCGCCAAATCGCCACAGGCTAAGACTCTCTTACTCAGAATCTCACAGCAGGACTGCCAGTGCACGAAATTCACATGTGGGCATTCCCGCGCAGACTCGGTGATGTCTGAGACATCGATGGGTCCCCCATGTTTGCAGACCCATGCCACCAGATCAAGACGAGAAATCTTCATAACACTCCTGGCAGCCAACAAATTGGCATGGGTGTGGGCATGTATCCACACGGAGTCCTACGATCTCGGTGGCAGCTGCAGCGCTGCGCAGAGTGCTTGCTCAACCTAAGAAAGTCAAACGCACTGTGCACGGTCTGAAATGTTCCTCACCTGACAGGGCCGCCAGATTAAGAGCAGATCCCCCGCCCCGCCCACCCTGCATACCGCAGCCGCTAGATCCCCAAGTCCACCGAGAATCCCCGAGAGTCCGCCTCGCGCCGACCCGCCCACTCTGCACACCGCGGTCGCCAGACCGCCAGGTCCACCGAAGATCCCCCGAGAGTCCTGCCTCGCCCCTTCCACGAACATGACAAAACCCCACAGAACCGAACATACTACCAAACATCCGAACATAACATAACATAACATAAGATCGTATTACGTAGCACAACGTAGCACAACGTAGCACAACATAGCAACACCTACCATACGATGACATAGCATAGCACCGCAATACACAACAGAACGTAGCACCACCTTGCATACCATACAAGAACACGTCATAGCATATCACGACAACACGAAACACATCATTCTATGTCATGAAGGAAGATAGCTACTTTGACACAGCGCGACAATACATACGATTCACAACACAACGCAGACAAGGACCAGGACATAACATAACACTGCATATCGTAACATAGCACAGCATAGCAACCCATGTGTGGAGAGACCTCTGGAGGCCCCTGGAACACCCAAGATTCGCGTGGCCGCTCTAATCAGGTAGGGCAATGTGTGAGACGCCGGCGCCAAGGCATGGCCGCCTGCGACCGCGTTGTGCCTGGAGCGCAAGCGGCAGCTCGACGCTTCGACGCGCTGTCCGCGGTGCAGCGGGGGTCGGCGCTCGCGGAGCACTCGGCGCTCAAGGCTCACGGCGTGCCGCGCGGCGCGGCGCAGGGCCGCACGCTCGTCGCCGCTGGGCGGCGCCGCGCGCCGCGCGGCCCTGGCAGGCCTCGCTGGACTGCGTGGCGAGCCGCACGCGGCGCCCCAAGGGCTGGGCGGGATCGCCTCGGGGGTGCAACACGGCGGCGGGGGCGGACGAGCTGGCCGTTCGCCGGCTGCGCGGGAAAGGCTGCCGTCGCGCGCGGCGGGCCCACTGCTGCCGTGCGCGGCCCGCGTCCGGGGGCGCAGAGGCCGAGCAGCGGGCGGCGCTGCGGGCGCGGCTCGCCGCGTGCCCCGGGGCGCCCGACGCGGCGGACTGCTCAATCAGTGGATTTGACGGCGCCGCCGCAGGCATGGGGCCCGCCGCACCCCCCTTCCCCCTCCCTCCCTCCCCCCCTGCTTGTCCCCTCTCACTGATGACCCGCGGGTCGGCGTGGGCTTCCGGCGCCTGGGTGGAGCCGCGCAGCCAGCTCTGGCCAGTTCGTGGCGCTCGTGGCGCCGGATCCCACGGGGAGCTGCTCGCGCTCGTCTGCATTAAGTGCTCGGAATACATCGGCGCGGAGCTGCACACGAACCGCAACCGATGCGGCGAGCCCGCCCACGCTGCGTGCGGGCATCGGGGTCAGGACGCCCACGGGCTCGACGCAGGAGCTGTACTGCAGTGAGCGCATGCAGCGACTCGAGGAGCTCCTCTTGGCGGAGCGCATGCAAGGCGAGGTAGCCTCCCAGCGTCGCTCTGGCATGGCCCCCCAGGCCCTATCACCGACACAGCTGGCGTCCTCGCCAGCAGTGCTTTGGCAGTTGGGGCAGCTGCTGGGGCGACCGCAGCCACGGCGGTTCGCGCGGCTGAGGAGCTGGCCCAGCCGCGGCAGGAAGAGACCGCGGAGATCCTGGCTGGCACCGAGCACGCCGCCTTGCCGCCGATGCCAGAGGAGGGGAGCAGGGAGGAGCAGGAGGGCAGACGAGAGGAGCGCGATGGCCCAAGGGAGGATCAGGATGGCAGCGCAGCGGAGCCGAAGGAGGCGCTGAGGACCAGGAGAGGAAGCCGAGAAATTCACGACGCCTCCCCGGGGGGGACGGTGGAGTCGGCTCCGGAGAGCGCCGATGGCGTGCGTCCGCGCGCCCTCCAGCCGGTGCCTCCGTGGGATGATCCAGAGCTGCAAGATCCGTCGCAGGGCTCTGGCCACCCTTGGTCTCCACCGAGAGGCGGGCGAGTGGGCCTCGGCGCCTATGTCTCTGGATCGACGCTGGATGGGCGCGACGATGGCGTATACCCAAGTGATGGAAGCCACCTTCTCCCTCACGGAGGATTGGTGGGTGAAAGGTGGGGAGGAGGAGGAGGAGGAGGAGGAGGAGGAGGAGGAGGAGGAGGGAGGGGGAGGGGGAGGGGGGGGGGGGGGAGGGGGAGGGGGAGGGGGAGGGGGCCGGCAGCCGCCGCACGCGGTGCGCCCTACTCGGCACACGAGCACCTGGGCCACACATGGCCCAGAGCCGCGTCTGGCCAACGCCCAGCTCCCCGCCTGCTGCACCTGACGCAGTCCATGGTACAGCAGGGCCGCCCCTCCTCCTCCTCCTCCTCCGCCTCCTCCTCCTCTGGATGGCGACTTTACATGCATGTAGAGTCAAACGCGCAAGTAGCCCTATGCGCCCGGCTCGGGCGATGACCCGCAGAAGCACCGCATGCACCGTGCTCCTTCCTGATGCCGCGGCGCGGATGCAGCCGCTGGCGCCACGATGCCGCACACGCCCAGGCCAGGCACGCTCTGACCGCCCCACTCTCAGCCGCACGCTGTGCGCAGGGGCGACGACGTCGCATGGAGCACGCCTGTAGGGCCTCAGACGTGCTCTGATGTACCTCTGCCGCCGACGACGGCGCGGTCCTTTGGCAGGGGTATCGACGCAGCCCGCGACGCGTGCAAAGACCTCCTTGTCCTGGACCACTGCGGCGCCCAGGGAGCTGAGCGCCACGTCCGTCAGAGCGCGGCCCGCGCCCCCTCCCTGCGCGGATGGCTGCGAGCGCGCGTGTAGCACGCGGCGGAACGCGCCAACGACGAGGTCCTCGAGAGTGCACCTTCCCGCCATCTGTGGCGGCCGCGATCGCGCCGCCCCGCGCGCCCAGCAGCGCCTCGCGCACGCAGCGCAGCACCACTGCTGAGCTCCAGCGCCTAAAGACTTGGATGACTCAGGCGGAAAGGCCAGCTGCCGTCATGCACATGGCACCCGGCACACGCATGCTATTGCCCGTGGTGCGCCACAACGCCTGACTCTCTGGACCGCTACCAGCCAGGCGCGCAGTCACCTGTAGCCTGCATGCTTTTGTCTTTATCCGGCAGAAGTTCGACAACCTCCGCAGCTGCAGACTAGCGGTCGCGAGATGAGCCTTCTGGCTGTTTTTGTTCCGGGCCTCTGGGGACTGAGCCCGCATCTCCTGCGTGATTGGTCTTTCCCCACGCTGGGGGGTTTGGAGAATCTGGTGATTCGCGCCGTTGTCGGCTGGGCATTCAATCGGGGCGCGGTCGCGACGGCGGCGGCATAGAAACCGATGCGCGTTCGGAAGGTTTGCCACTGACCTCTGCTCCAAGTTGCCCCACCGCAGGCGGCGGAGCATCGGTTTTCCACAACGCCCGATCATCGGGCGCAGGCGCGGCCTCATGCGCGGGCGGATGGGCATCCCCAACAACTCTCCAGTCCGCCGGCTCTCGCGCCGCAGGTGGCGACGGGCTGCGCATCCCCCCGCTGCTCCTCCGAACGTGCCCACATGCCTTGTTACTTGTGACAACTGTCTAACAACTGCGGCCATCCGCGCCGCCGTTGCCAAGTGGTAATGGCCAACAGTACGTGGCAACTGGTCCGACCCCAATCGAACCATAGCCGAACCAGTTCTGCTGCGCCTCACTTGCGGACTCTATCCACATCAGCAACGTGGAAACCGCCCATGTGCTTGACGTGGTTGCTGGAATTCGCGCGTGCCTGTTCGTGCCCTGGGGCTCTATCAGATAGAGCCAGGATCCAGCGGCAGGGCCTCCTGCACACTTGCCGCGTCGCCGTCCACGGGCCGCCGTCCGACCGCGCCCGGGGAAGCTGCCGAGCGTGGATCGCGTCAGGTTGCCCCGTCGCGGCTGCAGCTGCTGCTGCCGAAGCAAGCTCGTAACGACATGCACGCTCGATCAATTGTGCCACGCCTTGATCCGTCATTCGCTGGCATGCTTCTCGGGTGCGTGGCGCTTGCTGCAACAGTGTCCCCGGTGACCTCACGAGCCTGTGGGTCCACGCTCTGAGCTTGCTGCGCCCGGGAGACACTTCCGAGCTCCGCGAAGGATGGTCACAAGCTGTTGAACTTGGCCCTTTTTGTTGCTGTTCGCACATCCTGCCTTGCGATTTCAATCCTGCTGTTGCACATTGGCCACTTGCTGGCTTCATGCCCTGGGCATTGCAGCAGTTGATACGCACCTTGGTTGTTCAACGGTGACTGCTGTGGACCATCCACGCAGCCCCGCTTGCGGTCTCGCAAGTTATTGCTCCAAAACTCGAAGTGTGACATGCCGCGCCTCGTAGAAAAGGTAAGGGGCCCTTGGCTCTGTCGCTTTAGAACCTGAAACTTCCGTCCCATGGTTGGGCGCAACGGGAAAATGGTGAACCTCCTGTCGTCTGATCCCATACGGGATATTGCTGTGTCAGCGGCGGGTTACCCCGTCGCTCGAGCGGCGGGTTGCCCAATCGCGTGAACCATATTATTTGCTCGGGATGGTTTGTCTTTCCGCTTTCCACTGGTACGTTCAAGCGGTGCGGCTTGTCCGCGCCCAGCTTGCTGCTGTCTAGCAGTTCGTTTCGAGTGCTCCCCTACGAAAAACGTATCGGTGAGGATGGCACAGAGGCCAACTTCAAGAACGCTGGACTGTGCCACCGTATTGACAGCGCAACGCACAACTTCGGCTGATAACGTGCAACCGTAGAAGGTTGGGAAGACATGCGGGCCTAACCCAAAACCATTTTTGCAAATGGCCTCGGATCGCCTGTGACGGCGGCCGAGTTCCTTCACTATAACTGACTATATGTGCACGTACACATCATCCGTATGCAAGATGGCGAACTACGAAGACGGACGAAACGGGCTCAGGCAGGCACATGCGCCATTTGTTTTCCCAGCCGCCTCGCGAGCCCGCATGTGCGGCAAAACGGGTCTCCTCTCCTGGATATGCAGGAGGACGGAGGAGAGAAGGCAGGAGCGGATAGGGGAATACCCAGGACGGACCGACCTAAACACCAAAGCGGGGGTACCGCTTGAAAACAAACGAACGTGCGCCCTAGGCCGAAGGGTGAAACACAAGTGAAACAGATCATTATTGTGAATGCACGTTCTACGGGCCACAACGCTAAGCGTATTGGTTTAAAGTCCCGAATCGGTGCGGTGACATACCGTGCGGTGAACTCGCAATTCCCCAGGATATCACCGCACGGTCCGTCAACGCACGGTTTTGGGACCGATGCCCCAGGTCGCCCGAGACGTCCGTGCGGTGACCCCGAATCCCCACCGACTCACCACACAATGTGGTCACCACACCGTTTGAGGGCCCCCGAAGTGGACCCTGGACCCCACCGACGAGATGGACGAACCGGACGGGGGTGCCCTTCACCCCCGCTCCGACCGGCGCCAACATCGAAGGACCAGCTCCCAAAATCCGCCGTTCCGGCGTCTGGGCTACAAGGAACCTCAGCAAGAGCTTCAGCTCTGAGCCTCAGCAAGAGCTTCGGCTCTGCTTGGGGGAGGGGGGGTCGCAGGGGTGACCCGGGGGGAGGGGGGGGGCGGTGCCCCATCTGGCGTTTTCTTAATGATTTGCGCATTCCCCTCAGATCTAGCCGCTTCCGCCCCCAGGACTCTCCCCGGTGCGGAGGGGGGCGGTTCCCCATCTGGCGTTTTCTTAAGAATTTGCGCACCCCCGAAATGTTTCGGGGGGTCCTAGGGACCCCCCTCAGAGCCGCTACCACCCCCTGGACCCCCCCCTCGGAACCCTCCCCAGATCCCCCCAGGGACCGCTCCAGGCACCCCCTCCCCTCAGAGCGCACGTCAGCTCCAAAAAGCGTTCCCGACGACTCCAAGAGCGCCCTCCCTCCCGAACAAGGCGCGCCAGCTTCAAAAAGCGTCCCCGACGACCCCAAGAGCGCAGGGGTCAGCGGGAGGCAGGGCAGAACGAGAACTAGGGGGAAGAAAGAGGACCGAAGAATCGAGGAGGGAGGAGGCCACAGAGCCGCGAAGATCACCGAATCTGCAGCCCCCCAGATCGGCGGCACTGGCCGGAGGCCATAATAACACGTAACAGCCGGAGCAGGAGAAGGAGAATGGGGCATTACACGGGGAGTCGCAGCAGGATAAACCTTCCAGGGTCGCACGAAAGAAAAGGGCTCCTGGTGGAAGCGGGCCCTGGTCGAAGGCGAAGGCAAGATGAGACCAGACTCGGCCGGAGAGAGATCGGGAATCCTTGAGAGCTGGCGGGTCATGGAAGACGCGCCGGGCGCCGCGGCCGCTCCAAGCGCCGTGGAGCCCTCTGAGAGCGCTCTGGAACGCGCTGGAGCAGCTTATCCTCGTCCTACAGTCGGGACATTGACCTAAGGAACCCGGAATAAGGAACGAGGCCCCTTTTCCCATAAGTTGAACCTCGATTCCCCATGGAAAACCTCAGGAAAATCCGAGGCAAACTTTGAAACAATCAGAGAAACAATCAGAGACCACTGTGTCAGCGCCCCGACTGTGTCCTCGTGCTTCGCCTGCCCGATGGACACCGGGGGCTCTCCCGGGGACCGGCTCCTCACCCCGGGTAGTCTTCTGGACGGCCCGGGGGCCCAGAAATGGGCACCGGGGAGCCCGGGGACGGACGAGCACCTCCAAGACCCCCTCCTCCACTCTGGGGAGCGAGAGGAGGAGGCGGACAGAGAAAGAGGACGGCACTCAGGGGGGGGGGGACCTTGACTTCGAGTCGGCGGTGCGTCGCGATAGATCGGCTATGAGCCGTCGATTGCGAAGCCGCACGTTCCTGAGCGGGGTAGGGCATCCAGACCCAGATCGGCGATGAAGGGGCGTTTGGAGGTCGATGCCTTCCCCCTGAGCATGTCCCTCCCTATTGTTGCCCCTGAGGTGAAGGAGACGATTCCCCTATCGTTGCCCCCGAGGAGGAAGAAGACGATGCTGCTCCAGCGGGCCTGGAGCATCGGCGTGACCGCGCGCTTGGCATCCCCGCCGTCGCGCATCGTGACCTGGCGGCACCAGCACCCCCCCAGGATAACTATCTGACCGCCTCCTCCTGGAAGAGGTGCGGCTCGGCCCCTTGCCTGTTTCGGCCACCCTCCCCGACTTCTCCTCGCTTCATCCTCCTCCTTCCCGCCACCTCCCCGCATCCATCCTTCCTGCTAGCAAGCGAAAGACGCCCACGTTTACGGACGCCCCCTCACCTCCTTCGCCTCCTCCCCTGCTTGTCCATCCTCCTCATCCCTCCTCTCCTTCCTCCTCCCTCCCTTCTCCTCCCTCCTTCCCTCCCTCCTCTGCGGTGGAGGGCATGGGGAGGCCGCCTGGGTCGCTTGTTACTGCTCGGCGACCGCTTGGGCCACTCATTGGAAACCCGATTTGAAGGACGCTTGGGCTACACACCGCCACAACCACTATTCCATGGAAAATCGCATACAAGGCCCTGGACTGGCGTTCGGACATCCTTGGCCCAGAACCGAGAATCCGGTCTCGTTGTTGTGCTCGCTCTGCCCGTGCTGGGTTGCCTGGAGGAGGGCCAGGAGGGCCCGGCCACGGCTGGTGGTAGCCCTCCTCCTCCTCCTCCCCCTCCTCCTCCTCCTCCTCCTCCTCCTCCTCCTCCTCCTCCTCGTTGGACGCAGACACGGCCGCACAGCGCGGATGCCACGGGTTGGAGCCGAAGCCTCCTGCAAATGCGGGTCGGCGCTGTCTGCGTGGAGCAGTCCGTTGCCACGGGTGGGAGAACCATCAGCGTAGAGAGTCTGCGCAGGGAGGAGGGAGGCCAGTGATGGGCCTGGGGGCTGGAGAGGGGTGAAGATGCTGATGGAGGGGATCGGATGCGATGCGATGCGACCACCGTTGCGGACAGCGTCCGGGCCTAGAGCAGACCAGGTGATGACAGCATCCAGGCTTATAGGACAACGTCCGGGCCTAGGACAGCGTCCGGGCCTTGATGGGGGGGGGACCGGATGAGGATGAAGAAGGGCTGGAAGGAGTGGAGGATGGCGCGAGGGGGCTGGGAGCGAATGCGCTGGGAGGGTGGGAGGCGAAGACGGGAGATAGGGGGGGAGCGAGGAGAAGAGGAGAGGAGAGGAAGGGACAGAGGCGAGGAAGGAAAGGGGGTGGCCTGGAGGGAGGGCAGGAGAAGGGAGGAGGGAAAGGGAGAAGGGAAGGGAAGAGGGGGCCGGGAGAGGCGTGCGCACCTTGAGCTTCATTTTCGCGATGGCCCCCGTGGGCGTGTTGTCGCGGTCCATCACAGGGTGAGTGTGCACCTGGCCAGGGGAAGGCCAAGTCAGGGAAAGGAGGGAGGAGAAGGGAGGAGGAGGAGGAGGAGGAGGAGGAGGAGGAGGGAGGAGGAGGAGGAGGAGGAAGCGGGGGGGGCACCATATAGAGCTCCTCGGCTCCGACCGATGTTGCCCAACAAGGCTTGGCGTCGCCCGAATGGCGCGGAACCGCGGAGGTGGGCATGCCCATGGCGAAGCAAACTGGCTCCTGCCCTTCCTTTTTCACGTTCCCCTCCGTGTTCACGCCCTCGCTTTCGCCCTCGTCTTGGTGCTCGCCCGCGTCCACACACTCCTCGTCCTCCTCGTCCGACTCCCCCTCTTTCTGATCGCTCCTGCTCTCCTCCCCCCCACCTCCTCCTCCTCCTCCACCCTCTCCTCCTCCTCCCTGTCCTCGTCCAGTCCTTTTCCCCCAGGCGTGTCGGTAGGACGGGCCAGGCGTTTCGCTTGACCTCCCCAGAGGAAAGATCGTTTGAAGAATGGAACTCTCGCCTTCGCGCGCATGTGTCTTAAACACTTGCGATCGTTACACGGGTGAGGGGGGGAATTTCATACAAGTAATCTCGCCTTAGTGCCGATCTCATTCGTCTCAAACACCTGCAACAATTACAAGGATGGGAGGGTAAACTTGAACATGGAGCTCTCGCCTTAGCGCCGTGCAAATAAGCGCACATTAAATATTCGGAACGGAGATCCCAATGTCAAGCCTAAACAACCAAATATTGCTCAAGAATGTCCTCGTTCCCCGTAACTGTTCTTCATTGTCCAAGACGTCATGTTCGTCGACATTGACCAGGCATTGCTGTGTCCAGTGAAATGTTATACGTAGGCGGCACTACGCTTGTGAAGACGAACTAATACAGACTTCAAGCGTTTATGGGTTTGACGTGTTACACTCGAACTGGTGGACGCAATATGGTCTTGCTTTGACGTGGGGTAATCTGCCGTGATGAAGGTCAACAACGATGGTGATGCCTACGAATCCTCCCTGGAACGTCTCTAACATGTGCAACAGACGGCATACTTCTGCAGGGGGGCACTGTACAGCAGCGCCGCAAGCAATCCTGAACTTATAAGACGCTTGGGGTGAGCTAAGCAGTTGTTCGAAGCACTGGCACACACTTGAAACCACGTATCAACAAATCTTGAGACCTTCGCCATACGGGCGTAGCTCACTGTCGGGCCGCATGCTGCTACACATCCCTGACCAAGAAAACTCGCCTAACGTCTCTCGTTGGATGGGCTGGTGGGGACACGCAATGCGTCAAGAACTTGGAATCTACAACACGCATGCTACTCCCGCGTTTCCAACGCGACCGCTTTTTCTCAGCACGGGCAAAACTTCTCAACGAGACATTGCACAAACAGCAACTGCAATCATGTGTGAATACATCGCAGACGTCAAACGATTCTCGCTTAAACGCGTTTGTTTGTTCTGTGAGCCTGGGGGGCAAGCGCACCAAGGCAATGGCGTTCTAGCAGACAAGGGGGCCGCTCAACATTGCAGAGGGCAAGCTGCGTGCAATCATGGCTACAAGGAGTCAGAACTAGCAGGTTCTCTGTGACTGGGCGCATGCTTTGACCAACGCATTATCAGCATCAGCAGCAGTATCGGTATGATGATGAACATCATCAGCACCTTCAACAGCAGCATCATCATCACCATCATCATCAGCATAATCATCACCAGCATCATCAACAGCGGCTGCATCATCATTCTCATCAACAACATCATCATCAGCATCGTCGTTAACATCATCACAATCACCATCTATATCCGTCGTCTCCCTCCTCCCTCTCGTGTCCCTTTGCACGTACTTGGCGAATCTGTAACACTACCATTCGTTTGGTATGCTGTCCCCCCTTGCTCTTCATGCGTGTGGCATGCCCGCTTCGTTCAGCCGAGGCGCCGTGCTATACGCTGGCGCATGACTTCTGTCTGTCCACAAAGATGGGGGGGAACAGTTTAAACATAGAGCTCTCGCCTTAGCACCGCCCACAATCTTCTGGAAGGGTCCAAGGATGGGTGGAGATCGGGGTCAACATGGAGGTCTCGCCTCAGCGCCGCGCACGACGCCTGCGACTAACACAAGGATGGAGGGGGTGCTGTCTAATGTTGGGCTGCCGCGCTGGCGCCGCGCACATTCGTCTTTCAGGATTGCAGCGGCCACACATGAGCGGCTCCGTTTCCCAAGGGGGCTCTCGCAAAACGCCGCGCACTCTCGGCTTAGAATGGTGCAACATGTTCAGGGATGGAGGAATGTGCTTCTCCCATTGGGAGCCTCCTTCGAATTACTCATCATAACTGTCCACCTGGGCGGCAGCTACACCCGTGGGGGCCGGTCCTTCTTCCAGCCGGGGGCATCGCTTGTCACATCGTTGGGCAATCTGATAATATCGGCTCCGTCGGCTTCTTCACTACAGTCGGACCTAGGTCAAAACAACATCCTTCAAGAACATGAGACCCTCCGTCGGCCAGAACAAAGGGAGCATCCAAGAGTTCCGTCCCCAAGATGCGCAAAAACGTCCAACAAACGCGAAGAACACTGGGGTGCCCTTCCCCAACCGCGACCTCGATCTGATACCTCGGTCTGACTGAACGTCTTCTCTTGCAGTCAGGGGAACCGTGAGACTCGGGAACAGGGGACTCGGGTTGGCCCGACGGGGCCATCATGAAAATGATGGGGCCCAGTCTGGAATCTGACGCGACCCCCCGCTGCAGACATCCCACGACAACTGGACCGCCAAAATGCAGGACGCGCTCGTCCAACAGCGCCGGCAGGCCCGAGTCCTGGCGCTCTCGAGTGCTACGCTTCCCCGGTGCAAGATGCCACGGTGGACCCTCCTCTCCGCGGGGTTCCTGGCCCGACTGGCAGGCCCATCGGGTGCCAGGTCCTTCCAGGGGCCGCTGCGGGCAGCGAGCTGGAGGACAGTCGGGGCGGGGGGCCAGCGGCAGATGGCGAGGCCCCTCGGAGAATGGCAGCAGAGGCCAACGAGGTGACTTGGGATGGGGGAGTGGATTTTAGCCTCGTTGATACATCTTGGGTTTGGTCTGGCCCTCCTCCTCCTCCTGCTTCTCCTCCCCTTCCGCCTCCTCCCCGTCCCGCTTCCACCCCTGACGCCGCTCCGTCCTCTCCCTCATCCTCGCCATCCTACTCCTCGTCCTGCTCATATTGCTCGTCCGTGCCTCCTTATCCTCCCCCTTCCTCCAACAATTCCTTCTGCCTCAAGGTCGGCAGCAGCGCCTTGCAGTGGTCCGGGTTCCGGGTGTCCAGCTTGCACGCTCCAATGAGCTCGTCCTCTGAAACTCACCACGGAGCAACTAACACGATAACGTGAAACAGACGATCGCCAGTCAACGAGCAACGATACGCCGACCTGTCAAAGGCAAGCTCATGCGATGACACGTGGTCTGAGAGAACAAGATATGAAGATACGACTGTGAAAGGCCAGAGAGGGGAGGAAGAAAAAAAGGAAAGAAGGAAGACGCGGACAAGGAGAAAGGAGTCCGAAGCCTTGATGGTCCGTGACAAGGCGATTAACCGAAGCCGCAAGCCCCTAACATCAATCCAGACATCTCTTTGTTGTCCGAAGACAAAGCGCGCAAAGGAAATACATAGCACCCCGCAATTGCGGATAAGAGTGAGGGGGCGGGCGCGGGCGACGCGGACGTCGTCGAGCCGGCGGACCTCGTGGCCCCCACCTTCCCTGTCGATGGCGCTCTCCTCCTCCTCCTCCTCCTCCTCGTCCTCCTCCTCCTCCTCCTCTTCCTCGTCCTCGTCCTCGTCGTCATCGTCATCCTCCTCCTCCACCTCGTCCTCCTCTTCTTCCTCGTCCTCCCTCTCCCCCCCTCGTCCTTCCATCATCGTCCTCCCATTGTCGTCCACCCCCTCATCGGCCTCCATCATCGTCCTCACATTGTCGTCCATCATCATCATCATCCTCCCCCTCCTCCCCCTCCTCGTCCTGCTCCTCCCCTTCCTCCCCCTCCTCCCTCTCCTCGTCCTCCTGCTGCTCCTCCTCCTCTTCTTTCTCCACATTATCCTTACATCCTCTCTGCTTTCGCGTCCTCCTCGTCCCCTGTTTACTCCTCCTGCCTCCCCCTCCTTTCCCAAGATAACGGCAACGCAATCCTTTGTTCCACTTTATGCTCCCCGACTTCTCTGATCAAGGCAACTCGCCAGGGCGAAGTTGCTGGACGGGCTGGTGTGGATGCGCGGGGCTTGAAGAGGTCGTTGCGGGCGCAGACGGCATGCAAAAATCCGCCGCCGCGCTTGTGCGGCATTGGTTTGTTCAGTGAACGTGGTTTGGGTCGCGGGTGGGTCGCGGGCTCTCCACCTTCACCTGGAAGGAATACAAAAGCAGCCCGCCGCAGGCGCCGAAAAATTTGGTTTGTACACTGAACGTGGAATGGGTCGCGGGTGGGCCGCGGGTTCTCCACCGGGGACGAATGCAAAAGAGGCCCGCCGCAGGCGCCGAAAAATTTGGTATGTACCCTGATCGTGGTCGCGGGTGAGCCGCGGGCTCTCCACCTGAAACGAATGCAAAAGATGCCCGCCGCAGGCGCCGAAAAATGTGATTTGTACCCTGAACGTGGTTTGGGTCGCGAGTTGGTCGCTGGGTGGGTCGTCGCGGGCTCTCCACCTGGGAGGAATGCAAAAAAAGCCCGCCGCAGGCGCCGAAAATGGTGGTTTGTACCTTGAACGTGGTTTGGGTCGAAGGTGGGTCGCGGGTGGGTCGCGGGGTGGGTCGCGGGTGGGTCGCGGGTGGGTCGCGGGTGGGTCGTGGGGTGGGTCGCGGGGTGGGTCGCGGGGTGGGTCGCGGGGTGGGTCGCGGGGTGGGTCGCGGGTGGGTCGCGGGTGGGTCGCGGGTGGGTCGCGGGTGGGTCGCGGGTGGGTCGCGGGGTGGGTCGCGGGGTGGGTCGCGGGGTGGGTCGCGGGGTGGGCGGGGTGGGTCGCGGGGTGGGTCGCGGGTGGGTCGCGGGTGGGTCGCGGGTGGGTCGCGGGGTGGGTCGCGGGGTGGGTCGCGGGTGGGTCGCGGGGCGGGTTGCGGGTGGGACGACGACAACAAACAACAACAAACAACAACAAACAACAACAACAACAACAAACAACAACGAGAATCCGCACCGCGAAATCCCACTTCAGCCACGCACCCAGGGACAGTGAATGACCGTTCGGCCCCCTCACTCTGATAACAAGAAACAAAGAAGAAACAAAGCTGAAGAAGACACAAACCTTGGAACAATTGGCGACTGCCAGAGCCGGAGCCGCCCCAGGCCCAACTGCGCGGCTGAAAACGACTCCTGCCAATACGAGCATCGCCGAGACAACAAATATTGCCTCCACAATGCTGACAAACATGCGCTCGGCGAGTGCACGGGTCGCGGCGAGCCCTCGAAGTGGGCCGGCATGCAAGACCCGGCGAAAGCTCCTCGCCAACAGCACCACGGCTACCAGCTGAAGTCTGAGGGGTAGCTTGACTGCTGAATGATATTTACATCGGAGGGAGGGGTGAAGGGGCAAGAGAGGAAGGAGAGATGGAGTGGAAAGGAAAGGAGAAAGGGAACTATATACAGTATCTACATATTCGTATATGTGTACAGATATAGTGGCCAGCGCGGACATAAAGCAGTGTGTTCGGGCATACATTGTGATGTGGTATGTGCAATCCAGCCTACGCAATGCAATCTATGCAGTAAAATCCATGCAGTGCCAATCAATGCGGGGCAATATCTGCAAAGCAGTCGATGCGGTGCAACCTTAAATCGCACCGCATTGGTTGCACCATGCTACTATTAGTTATGCTGGGCGATGCCCGCTTATGCTACGCTATGCTGTGCTGAGCCAAGGTATACTATGTTACGCTAAGGTAAGCTCTGCTGTGCTGCGGTCAGCTGTGTCATGCTATGCTATGCTATACTATGCTATGCGAGTGGACGAATGCGAGTGGACGAGTGCGAGTGGACGAGTGCGAGTGGACTAGTGCAAGTGGCAACGACGGACGGCGACAACGGGCAGTGACAGGCGGCGACGAGTCGGCCAGACTGACACCGGGGCCCAATGCAAGTGGCGGCGGCGAGCCAGCCAGACCAGCACCAGGGCCCAGTTACCAGAAGTAAGAGCCTCTAAGTTCAAACACTGCTAGGGGAATCTGCATTCTATATAAATCTATGGATATATATATATATATATACACATACATACACAGCGTTGCAATATGCAATGGATTGTGCCTCATCCAGTGTATCTGTGATCCGCAGATGCGGATCGTGCAGCGAATCTTGCTCCAGAGCATTTCAGACGAATTGCCCAAGGGTGTGCCCGAGCAGTGGGAGAGCTCTGCAATCACAGAGCGCCCTAGCTGGGCAACAAGCAAGAAGTCGAGCGGATGCCGCTGTTATTTTGAACCCCGCCCCCGCCCCTCGCCCAAGTCGTGAGAGAGCTGCAGGGGGAGAGCCAGTCTGCATAATGCTGATGGCTCCAGCGACGACCGAACTCATTCTGGTCCTGTGCCCCTCCTCCATGCCGCTCTCCCTCTCGCCCACCGCCTCCCACGACCTCCTCCTCCTCCTCCTCCTCCTCCTCCTGCTCCTTCTTGTGTCGTGATCCCTCCCGTCTCCCCCCCTCCCCCTCCCTCCTTCCCCCTCGAGCCTGCTCCTCCTCCTCATTCTCCTCCGCCCGTCCCTAACGATCCTCCCAAACATACTCTCCCAACCGTCGCCCCTCCTGCACAATTTAGATAGGGGGCCACTTGCGAATCTTACCCCTACCCCCCACGATTTCTGAGGGGGAGGGTGGGTTTCACTTCGCTCGGGAGCTCCCGAACGAAGTCAACCCCACCGTCCCCCTCAGAAATCGTGGGGGGTAGGGATCGGGTTCGCAAGTGGCCCCCTATTAGAAGAAGGGAAAACTGAATAACCATAAACTTTTGGCGCCAGGGAGGCGCCGGAGGCCGCGGGGTGGCCCCAACGCGGATCCAAGATACCCGCGCTGAGCGCCAAAAACATATGGTTGTGCAATTTTGTTTTTTTCGAGCTACTCTACAGGAACAAAGGACTGCATAACCTTCCGGACCTTCGGATGTCTGCCGAACTTCCCCTGGAGCGGCGCTGCACCCGCCTCCCCTGGATGCGCGAAGCGCGCCTGGGGCGGCGCCAGCGGCGCAACCGGGGAGGGCCCAACGCCGACGCAAGAAATCCGCGCGGACCTCTGGGGGAAAAAAATACGAGGCTGCCGTTGCCTGCTCTTGTGCTCCTGACCCGGGCCTCCTGCGCGGCTCTCCCGCGACTGGGGCGTTCCTCGGCGGTGCCGTCGATCAGCCGGAAGAGCCCCACGACGAGCTCGTCGACCCCGGGAGCGGCTGCGGGCGCTGGGGCGGGGGGGGGAGTTCTCGGCCACCGCGGCAAGAGCACGAAGGGGCACACCGAGGACGGCGAAGGTGGCGACGAAGAGCCGAGGTCGACGACAACGGAGCAGACTTCCCTGGCGGCGAGCCCGAGGGGCTCGGGGAGCGAGCGGGGCGGGGCGCCTCGTCAGGGAGCCCTGGGGGGGACCCCTCCTGGGGCATCGCCGTCTTCAGAAGGGGTGCCCGTGCCTCCTTTCAGCCTTTCAGAGACGGAGCGGGGGCCTGCTGAATGTCAGCCTGTGGCAAAAGTGCACCAGCGGCGCAATGAAACGCGTGCTTTGCGCGTTCGGGCAGAAACTTGGGTGGTGCGCTGGCGCTGGCCGACTGGAGGCGCACGACGGCGCGCCGGTGATGAAGGGCCGTCACCAGGCCGCCGGAGGAGGCCGACAAGCGCGGCGCCCACGGCGCCGCTTCAGCGGGGGGCAGCGGCTCCGCTGCTGCGGGGTGACTTTGGGGGGAGAAGAGGGGTGGGCAGAGGCAAGACCTCCCGCCGCCGTTGCCACCTCCCCTCCGTCGTGGCCGCCACGGTCACTGCCGCCGCTGCCTGCAACAGCTTCCCCTCTCAACGCCCTCTTCACACCATGCCGCTCAATGATGTTCAGGGCGGTCCTCCTGCCCCGCCTCCCTTTCCTCCCTCTGCCCCGCCTCCGCCTGCTCCTCCTCCTCCTCCTCCTCCTCCTCCTCCTCCTCCTCAAACTTGCCCCTCGCACAGACCACGACGGCGACGAAGGAAGTGCCACGAAGGCCCGGCGAACAAACGGAGCAGTTGCCCGAGGGCGGAGGGACGAAGCCAACGACACCTCGAGCCTCGGGCCTCCAGCGGCGCGCGCTCGCAAGCCCAATGCAGCTGGCTGCGAGCCCTGTCGGGCTCAAAAACAAGATCCCCTGCCACTGGGAGATGGCACCATTACGCATACACTGCGCTGCATTGTGCAGGTTTGCCCCCGCTCGGAAACGGCGCGTCGTTTGTACATTGTTGTGCGCATCCATGGCGCGGTCGCACGCCGGCCCCTTTCGCGCATTCTGTTTCTGTTTGCACCAAGCTCCGCGGGGACTATTCACGAGCCATCGGAGGGGGGCCATGAAGAATCACTTTTCATCATCACAAGATGACATTCGTAGGCTGCCTCCCAGACTCTCACCATATTGGAACGATGCCGACCTTTGCTCCATCAGACTTCCTGACATGTAAGTCCTTCTCATCTCATGATCAGACTGGGACGGTACAACCTATGACGGTAGCGCGAGTTGTTTCGCTTGAGACTTCCACACAATGTATGCTCCAGACCCTGGACGCTTCCAACTGCCATTTGGATCCTGGGCCGGTAGTTTCCAAAGTGTGGCTCTGGCATTGGCGCCGCGCACACACGTCTCAAACGCGTGGCAACTGTCCACATTTGGGCGTTCTATGGTTTGGGTTTGTTGGTTTAGTGTGGCTCTTGATTCAGCACCGCGCACGTTCGTCGTCAACATTCATCTGTTGCATGAAGGGCGCGGCGGTGAATGCAGGTCCTCTTCATCGTCAGACGGAGTCCCAATGCGGAAGACATCAAGAACACCCCCAGGGGTCTGGCCTGAAAGTCCGTGGCGCAGGGAACATGAGGATGAGGTGATTCTGCATGTCCTTGGTGACCACACAACCAGGAGGGGTCTCCCTGTCTCCTCGCGATGGTGGTGGGTGTGTCGATTCTCTTGGGTCTTACTGAGGGAAGGTGTCCCTGAGGCTCCCCCCTCTTCGTCCTCGTCCTTCACTCCTTACATGTGAATGCGTGTTTGCACGCGTGGGTGCTGCGATCAACCGATCCTTTGGGCTGGGCGCAACAACAGAAGGAGGAAGGAGGAGAACTGGAGGGGAGAGGAGACAGGGGATGGGCAAGACGGGGCAAGGACCAGCGGGGAGGCAAGGGCCAGGGCAAGCGGACGGGAGGTGACGGGGAGGAAGGAAGCTGGGCTGGCCAGCCTGCCCCCGAAGGGGGCAGGCAGGCGGGAGGGCAGGGCAGGGCATGACGGACGGGCGGGAGCGCGGGGGAGAAGGAAAGAGATCCTCCCTGGTAACCCTGGAGGCCTCCCAAACGGGGCCAGAACGAAATTGCGCTGGAAGATCGCACCGCATCGCCAATGCGTCGGCGACGCATCGGCGACAGGCCCCTCCTGGCAGCCCTCCCGGACTCGCTTAGAATCGGTCTGATGAATCCTCATGCCGTCCATACCAGGCCGGCTTTCGGGCCGCGTCTGGCCATGGAGAGGAGAGCCTGCAGAAGCTCTGAGAGGCAACACTCGAAACGACGACGACGTCGTCCAGGGGAGGAGCGGGCATGGTCGGCCAGCATCGAATAAAGAGATCCTGCTGAATCGGAACGTGCGTCGGATCGTGCTGCACATGAACGGAGTCGGAATCCAATCGGATCGGCCGCGCCAGGAAGCGCAACACATCACCATGAAGGCATCGGCCCGTATCGCATCGTCGGGGTATTTGGAATCGAATCCCACGGCGCCTGGCGGGCTCGGCATCGGATCGGATCGGAACGGGCACCTGGAGGGGCGGCCGGCGGCGGGAGGAGGCTCGGCCCCGAGGTCCTCGGAGCTTGATCTGCTGCTTGAACGTGCAGTCCTCCTTGCAGGGAGGGGCGGCGCGTCCCGTCCCCGGGAGGGCGGGGGAGGCGGAGGTGCCGCGAGCGACGGGCGTGCCCCTGCCCCTGCCCCTCGCGGTCGAGGGGTATCACCGAGGCGCGATGCCGTGGACACGCGACTCCCACAGACACGTTCCGCGCGGGGGGCCTCACTCTGCATCTGCATCCCGCAAGGGTTGCGGTCAAGGAGTCCAGGCCGCGAGGCTGCGTCCCGCCCTCGGAGGAGCACAAGCTCCCCGTCTTCCCTCCCCCTTCCCCCTCGTAAATGTGCATCCCTTTACATGTCCCTCTCTGTAACCACTCAACCACTCAATACGACTGCTACTCTCCGCTTTCCGTTGAACACGTTCAGAACTTTACCCGCCACTATCTGTCCTGTCTTCTGTTGCCGTTGCTTTGCGCAACAAAGTTCCCGACTTCTTCGTGCACTCCCCAAGACAACTGAGCAGCATGGGGTGCTGCTGTGCTAGAAGCTACTGCCGCCCGAGGGGCCCCCACGACGAGACATCCTCGAACAAAAGGTGGTCCCAGCCGTTCGCCTGAGACATTCTCCCAACCCTCGTTTTCGAGTTGGCCAGGGTTGGGGTGGGATTGGGCGTTTCGCCTGAGACATCCCCGCAACTCTGGGATCCGAGCTGCCGCGCGCGAGGTGGTCTTGCTTGTTTCGCCTGAGACGCCCTGGCAACTCTGCGCTCCGAAATGCCGCGCCATCCTGTTTCGCCTGAGACATCCTCACAACTCTGGCTTTCGGAACGCCGCGCGCGCGAGATGGTCAGGCGCGTTTCGCCTGAGATATCCCTTCAACTCTGAGCCCCGAGATGCCGCGCGAGAGGTTGTGTGGCGAGTTTCGCCTGAGACATCCCTGCAACTCTGGGCCCTGAGATGCTGCGCGCGAGGTGGTCTGGCGCGCTTCGCCTGCGACGTCCTTGCCAATCTGCGCTTCGAGGTGCAGCGCGAGAGGTGGTCTGGCGGGTCTCGCCAGAGACATCCTCGCCACTCTGGGCTTTGAAACAAATCGCGCAACTGCGGGCATTTAAAACGCAACACGCGGACGGATCTTCGGATCTTCTGCCTTCGGCATAGGGGCCACGTGTACGGCTGCTCACAAAAGAAAGCCCACGGACAGGACCAAGCATTTGTCCCTGGACGTCACTATCTTGGCCAAAGGCCTTCTTTTGATAAATCTGGGCATGATCCCCCTAGGGTCACTTTCAGAAGTCTGCGGCTGCTGAAAAACGCCATCGCCATGGACGCGCGGAAGATACGAGCAGGGCATCCCTGAGGATCTTGAGTTTTCATGGTGCATATGGGTCGGGGGTTGCGGGTGGTTTTGCGCTATGGGATTATGATACATTGTTGTTCGCTGCACAGGTTATCACGAGGTACGAACGTAGACATCAACGCACGTGAATCATACAAGTCTTCAGCGGTGTTGGCATGTACGTGATACTGGTGTGCATGAAGCGCGTATATGAGACGTTGCGACGACTCCATGCAAAGATATATGTATGTATATGAGTGTTGCTCGAACGCGCGCAGGCGCCCTGATTGCTACGAATGTATGTCGGTCATGTAGGGGGATCGTGCCTGCGTGCACGGTCCGACATCAACGGATGCCAATCTACACACACACATACGCTCTCTCTTTGCGCGATTACTGGTTTTCTTATCGTGTACATAAGCACGAATGACATGTGCGACCCTGTCAGGCGAGTGGTGATATTCCCGCCATCCCGGATGCGTTACAACACCAATCAGCTGGGTGGGGGAAGCGTCCGAAAGCCCCGATCTTCGACCCCGTCACCGACCCATCGGCGCCATGTCGACTGGGACATACGTTCGGGCGGATCCCAGCGGCAAAAACACTGTACGGAACGGGCGGCGCGACCCGGTCCTCGCCGTCGCCGCCCGCCTTGCTCTGCGCACCCAGTCGTTCCTGCCCCTTGCCATCTTCGAACGAGGAGGAAGGGGTGACGAGCGAGTAGGATGCAGGGAGGCATAGATACAACGAGCGGGGGCGGGGACGGGGCAGGATGACGGAGGAGGAAACTGGGGGGGGAGAGGGCGCAATGCACGAGAGGGGGAAGACCGCGCGGTGCACGGAGGTCCCTTAAGGGCCGCCCCGCCCCGCTGCGAACGCCGCGAACCATTTGAGGGAGGGAAGAGCAGGGGATGTGAAACTGACGGTGGACGGGGAGGGGAGAGGTGGTGGCTGGCACGAGACATGTCTTTGCTCTGGCAGGAGAGCCCTAAATCGAATCGATAAGCCGAATCGGCGATCGAAATTAATCGGATAGGCGGAAGTCGGCAGCCGAGTCTGGAGGAGTCGGATCGACGGAAATCGGCAGAGTAGTAGTGCCTCATTGAGACATCGGAAGTCGAGTCGGAATCCGAAGTCGAATCGAGTCGAAATCGGAGTCCATCGACATCGAATCGAAGCGAGTCGGAAGAATCGATACGAGCCCTGCTCTGGACGATGAGGTGGGGGTCTCGCTACTCTTCCGAGGCCGGTGGAAAGGGGAGAGGTCGAAGGCGCCCTGCCAGGCGCCATGGCCCTGCGGGCCTCAGTGCAGCGCCTGGGCTCGCAAGTGATCGGCATCGAAGGCGATGAGCCCGATTGGGGAAGGAGCAGGAGCAGGAGAGGGAGGAGGAGGAGCAGGAGCAGGAGGGGGAGGAGGGGGAGGAGGAGGAGGACGAGGAGGAGCAGGAGGAGGAGGAGGAGGAAAAGGAAGAGGAGGAGAGGAGAGGAGGAGGAGGGGGAGGAGGAGGACGAGGAGGAGGAGAGTGGAGGAGGAGGAGGAGGAGGAGGAGGAGGAGGAGGAGGAGCAGGACGAGGAGGACGAGGAGGAGGAGGAAGGTGGAGGAGGGTGGTGTCAGTGCAGTTCTTTTAGCTCGGACTGCGCGGCAGTCAAAACTGCGGGTGCGTCCCAGGGCCCTAGGGCTAGGGCCAAAACAGCAGCGGGCAAGCGGGCAGCGAGCATGCCACAAAACGAGACAAACGTGTACATCATGCACGCACGGTGACACGGGCGGCAGAGGGGCAGGGGAGTGCACTCTTCACACTGGGTGAGTACAATGCTGCCCCGATGCCGCTCCCTTCGAAAGGGAAACGCTGCACGCAATTATAATGTATATCAGCCCACAGGCCGAAGCACCTCAAACAGATGCGGCCTGAGGCTCAATATATAAATATAAAATATGAATGTCTAGATTCACTAATCCAGACTGTCAACTCAAAAGATATGCATGAAACACCTCAAGCAAAGTGCGGCCTGAGGCTCAAAAATGAATATAAGAATATGAATGTCTGGATCCACTATTCCAGACTTTCAACTCAAAGGATACGCATACATCACCGTAGCCCTCACTAGGTCCATCAGCAGCTGCAATCAGGACCTCACGGGCTCGCAGGCCCTGGAACGGCGACCCGACGCTGGGCCTTCCGCTCCTTGGCTCTCTCACGCTGTCCGCGGCGCAGCCGCAGACGGTGTGCCTCCTCATCCTCTTGCTCAGCAGTAGGCGCCATGCTGAACAGTCCGTGGCGGAGGAACTGCGATAGCACCTCGTTAGGCTGCACGGCCTTTGTCAGCACGTCCGCCAGCATGTGGCTATTGGGCAGCCACTTGAACTTGATGGCCTCCTGTTCAATCAAATCCTTGGCCACCAACAAGTCGATGAGGGTCTGCCGAGACACCGGCATCGAGCCGATCTTGGACGTGTGATCGTAGAGCGACTTCGCATCCGTCACGAGCGCCCCTGGAACCTTCAGCGCCAGCCTCCAGTCCCCTTGCAAGGGCGGCTCCCCGTGCAAGATTGCCTCAATCAGCAGCCTGAGGTAAAGCTGCCGATCCAAAGCCACGGACATAGCCGCAGACTCTGCGGCCATCGTAGATCCAACAACTCGTGTAATAGTACTGCTCTGGGACTCCACTAGACAACATACAGTTAGCTCCTTCAACACTCGGGTATCCGTAATCATACTCATGAACCCCATCTGGCTCTTACAGCCGGGTTCCTTCGCAAACGAAGCGCCCATAAGCGTGAGCACCTGCAAGTGCTCGATGTCCACGCGGCGGATCCGGAGAGTCGCAAGACCTCTCTTGTCGTAGTCCTGAAGCCGGTCGATGATGTCATTGAGCACTCGCAGGCGCAGTAACCTCCGACCTTTCGGATCCTTCTGTGCGAGCGCCGAGACACTATACGCGAGCTGTGGCACCACGCGTGCGACAGGCCACCGCGCCTTCTGGAGCAGGCTCCGGAAGTCGTGGTGCTCCTCGGGAGTCATCTCCCGCTCCTCGTCGTCACCCCTTGCAAGGGGGTGCTTTGTCAGCTTGCCGATGTACTCGTGCATGCTGATCTCGATGTGATCGGGGTGGCGCCACCACTCCTCACCGAGATAGGCGACTGCCTCCTTGTCGTCGCCCTTCTTCCAGTGCTTGATGTTGAAACGACTGTTGGTGTTCGCCTTCACCTCCTGGTACTGGGGGTCGCGCGGGTCTCCAAACAGCATGCCGTCGTCGACGTGCAAGGTCAACATAGCAATCAACTTATCGTTCATCCGATAAACGAAGACAGCTCGAGCACAGCGCAGCTCCACGAAGCCGACCTCGTCCGTCAGCACCTGGCGGGCTCGGAGATACCACAACCGAGGCGCCTCCGTCAAACCGCACGCCCCTTTCAGCAAACGAAGCAACGCATAAGGTCGCACGGCTGGCCATCCAGCACCGTCGACGGCTGGAAGCCCGTCCTTAGGAGCCCTCACATAAAGCTCCCGTTCCAGCTTCAGCCCGGACAGGAACGCAGTCGCTACGTCGAAGCACTCGAATGTCCAATCCATCGCCATTGTGATAGACGCACACACCAGCACAGCCAAAGGGGAAGTAGTAGGCGAATCCGTCCTGAATAGACCAAGCTGCGGGTCGAGATGGCCAGGGATGATCAAGCGCGACTTCGCCTCCAGCTCCAGCCCTCGCCCCCGGTTCGTGCGAACCGAACGCATGGGCACCGAGATGATCTTGTCCTTTGGGATACTCTTCTCCTCCTCCTCGGTGACCAGCTCGACCGTGTTGTTGGCGATCCATTGCCGCCACTCGGCGGCATCGACCTCGTCGAACTTAGCCTTCTCGTGCTGGTTGAAGTGACGTGGGTCTAACTCCTTCGCGTCCTGCTTCATCACGAGTGCGAACACGTCGTGCTCGTACCGGGCCTCCTGCAGCCATGCGTCATACACAGATGACACGTTGATCCATTCCTCGTAAGTCATCGGCTGCCGTACAAGACCCTCCGGAGTGTCCAAATAGTACACCCCTTGTGCCTGAGCGTCCGGCTTGTCGTGGTAGAAAAGCGTGAGACCAACCCAGCTGTCCTCCGTGCGCTCGTTGGTACGGCTCGCGCCGTCGTCCTTGTAGGCACACTGGCCCGTGGCGGAGAGCATCACCGACAGGCGATTGCACTCCCGGTGGCGGTCGTGATCATAGAGTCTCCGCCGTGGCTCTCGATGTACGCGTACTCCTCGTACGACCTTCTGAACGAGCGTGGAGACACCATCCAAGGCATTCTGGTCGAACCACTCCTGGGGTCCCGAGTGCACAACAGCGTTCATGGCCACCTCGCGGAGGGCCGGCAAACCACTCGTAGGAGCAGCCTGCAGACGCGTCTTCTTGATGCAACTCGGCACGTCATCTACCAGGAACTTCCGCTTTCGCTCAAGCTCGAAATCGTCTCTGGGAATCGGCGGCACCGGAGGGCCGCCAGAGCCCGATGCTCCCGGAGAAGCCTCCGGGCACGTCTCAGAGGATATCCGGCCTGGAGGGGAGCGAGAACGCGCCCTCCTCGGAGGGGGAAGCTGCGGCAGCTGCTGCTGCTCAGGCGGCTCCTCCTCCTTAGCCTGTGCCTCAATGGCGTCCAGGGCCCTCAGGTCCACACGAAGCTGCCTGGACCCCTCGAGCTCCATATGTCGGTCACGCTCCTTCTTCAGGAATGTCTTCTTAACCTTCTGAACCTTCACCTTGGGCGTGACGTCCACGATGTCGTGGTAGGCGCGATCATCTCGCTGCTGCGTCAGCCGCACGTCCGTCTGGATGGACTCCGCAGCTGCGGCCTCCTGGGAGGAGGCGTGCCGGAGCTGCTCACGAGCAACAAGTAGCACGTGGCCACGCCATGATACGTAGCACCGGCTATTGGATTCCTTCGCGATCACAGTCGCAGGACCCCGCCATCGTTCAGGATCTTGCCGACGACGTCCCTTGAACGGATTCGGTGCCCAGAAGTACACCCTCGATCCTGGGCACAGATCTCCGACGACCGTCGGCGCCTGTCGTAGCAGCGCCCTCCGCACCTTGTCCGTCGCGTCGCGCTCCAGCAACATCATCTTTGCTGCGGTGCGGATTTGAGACGAACGCCAAGCTATGCCCTTGGCGCCGAGAACCGACATGAGAACCTCATCGTCGTCCCTGTTAGTCACCTCCGTAAAGTTCAAGATTCGCCCGAAGACAGCCTGCTCCGGGGTCAATCCATTGCGGCTGATCGTCGAGTTCTTCGCATTGATGATGGCAGCCAGGGCCACAGTAGACATCGACTTGCCCTGGGCGTGGAACTCGTGCGCCACCTTGCCCCAGACAGTGCCGAGCAATCCTCCGTGGCGCTCTGCCAGGCCATGCTGCCAGGCTGCATGAGCTCCCGTCGTCTTCGTATTAATGCCGAACTGCTCCATCAGCGCGTTGAAGTAGCCCTCGAACTCGCCGCCCTGGTCGATCACGATGTTCTCTGGCACGCCGTAATGCTTGAACCACTCATTCATGATCTGGCGTGCTACGTGCTTGGCCGTCCTATTCTTGAGAAGGCATGCGCAGTGCCATCCCGTACCAGCGTCCACCATGCTGAGGACCACCAGCTGCTCCTTGGCCGCGTCCCGTAGGTACTTCACGTCGATCACAA